CTAAGTTACACCCCCCAAATTTTGCGGTTTTGAGAATACTCTTAGATGGTGTTTTACTAAGGGAAGTAAATTTGCTTAGTTTACTAGTCTGGAAAAGAAAAAGAACTCTATATAATGTGACTATTTACTTTTGATAGAAGGAAGTCACAATTACTTATAACCATATCATATGAAAGCTAATAGTTTGGATGCGTCACAAAGTTTGAAAAAATTTCTTTTGAAGTTTGAGTTTTTTAAATGGAATAAATGTAGCCATCTAATTCTACATCAAATAATCAACATTAGTTGCGATCACCTCCTACCAAAGATAAATGGTCTCACTAAAAAAAATGCGATGCAAGAAGACAAAAAAAAAAAATGATGTCTCTAAAGACCCCAAAGAAGCGTGTGTTTCCTCTCAACTTCAAATTATGACTCTGGCCCTCTCTCAACTCACCCTAGGGTACTTCTGCCTTTCTGATTTAGAGCATGTGATGTCGTACGGTGAAACATTCAATGAAATGAAATTTGAAAATTGGGAAATGATTTCATGCAAGGGTTGTATAGTAGTATAATGTAGTCATCTTCAAAAATCAGGTTAGAGACATTTGTTTGCCACAAATTTTTAAATGCACCCTCTTTTCATTCTAAAGAATAATCACAAAAAATAAAATTTTGAAACAATGCTCTATAAAGTTTTCATTCTAGCCCAATTTTATTGAGATGGTTAGATATAGGCTTCAGAAGGATTTTTTTTATTTCCAAAAATTTTATATAGGGTTATCCTCATTAGATTAATAATTCTAAAAAATAAAAAAGTAATTTCGAATATGTTAAGGCCTAGATCTTGAAATTTGCCAAATGGATGGTCGAGATTCATTGTTAGATGAGAACTAATTTTGAACATATCTAGAGTGCAAATTGAAATTGTTTTTTCGTATGATTGATTATAAGGATAAAGAGAATGTGTGTACATGCAAATACCAAAAATATGATTTTCTAGAGATGTGGTTGCATTATACTACTGTACAACCTCTACATGAAATCATTATCCTTGAAAATTATTTAAAAAGGGTTAAGTTTTTGTAAAGCTTAGGCTTTATGAAAACAAAATAAAGCCTCACGTCAAATTTTTGTTCGGAAAACAAGGTCGGCAACAAAATCTCCATGATGGGTCTAAAATCTATTTCCAACACCGATAATAAATTTTGAAACTAAAAGAATGGCATGGATCTTTGGACACTTATTTTTAGGCAAAACGAACGGTCTAGATAATTTGTTACACTGTACCCTATTTTCAGAGTTTGAAATCCTAATTTTTTTCATAACCATAATGTTCAAGATGAGATGATCGAAATAAAGGTTTCCCAATGCTTGAATTTTAAGAGTATGAGGTGAGTCAGCTTTATTTATTTTGATAGAGCTACAACCCTATTAAACCATTTTCCATTTAGAAATTACTAAAAAGTAGTTTAAAAAGTAGAAGAGTATAATTGTTTATAAATAAACTATTTACCTTTTGTATAAAGAGTTCACAATCAAAATGGGTCATTGTAAGAGTGTTATGGATTAGACATAAATATCCAAAAATAAATAAAAAATCTCATGACTTACTTCAAGCCATCCAATTTGATATCTAATGAGTGGGAATAGTTGTGACTTTTTTGCATTTTTGTTGAATCAAGTGTGTTTTACATCCACAAAATTTGAGGTCCAACAATGCCCAGTAACTAAGGTTTTGCCCATCGGAGCAAGTGTATAATTTGCTTCTATAGGAGCATATTGCAATAATGATAGTTGTTATCAAGAATATCAAGAATGGACCAACCAGTTCAACTCGTCGAACAGCCAAGTGATGTCTTCAGTCTTGGCTGGTTCGGTCTAAAACAAAAATCAAATTTGATTGAAGCAATACAAAAGTGGTGTTTAATGATTTTGGCTAATCAGATAAGTATGTTTTAATATGGCAGACTAATTTAGCAAAGTCAGGTATTTTTTTTTTATTGGATTTATTGTTTTTAGACTATTATTTTTTTCTTTCTTTTTTAAATCCCGTCCAATCGATTTGGGGGATCAAACCAACTTTAACTAAACTAGATCAATCAGTTGTACATTGGACAGTACGATATTAATAACAACTTTCTTTAACTATGCAGGCCCTATTTCCAATCTTTCCAATAATTACTAAAGTGTGTGGTTAGCTTAAGGTGTCAACCTTGAATAACTAAAGCTACATATCCAAACCCTACCAAAAGATGCAATTTGAGTCTCATATGATATTTAAATATAAAAAAACAAAAACATAGATCGAGGAGATCCATAAACATTTAAAATCATAAAAGTGGATGGTCTAGGTATTGTGTTACAACTTATAAGATATACTTATTTTTAAAGCTTCAATTTTTTTTCTTTTCTTCATGCATCTCAATTTCGAGACAATCAATTTGAGTAATTTTCAGCATCATATTTCTAAATGCTCTTGTAAATTTTAAAATTAGTTATTTCTAAATCCTCTTGTAAATTTTAAAATTAGTCTTACTTTTATAGTAACTGCAAATATTATCCCCTCATAGACCGCGAGAACCCAAAACACACAAGAAAGGAATCAGAGCTTATTGGAAGTGATATTTCTCTCTAGTGTTTTAAAAGTTAGATTGGTGGGGTGGATCATTCATCCCGATCTTAGGATTGGCAATCCAGATGGAGTCTAACTCAATCGGAATCAATAAATAAAATAAAATAAAAAATAAAAAAAAATTATGTGGTGAGATTTAGAGGGATCTAAAAAACCATTACATAAGCTTAAAGAGAGAAAAAAAAAAGAATTGTATACAATGAGACCATTTACCTCTGATATAAAGAGGTCACAATTACTTACAACCATCAAATGAAAAATTAGATAACTTAAGTGTGTCATAAAATTAGAGAAAATTTCTTTTAGAGTTTGAGCTTGGTCAATGGAATGAATGTAACGATCCAATTTCACATCCAATAATCCAGATTAACTGTAACCGTCTTGTTGTACCAAGGTAAATGATTTCTATATTTTCTCAAAAAAAAAAAATATAAACAAGATTTTCCTTCGATCCAGACCGATTTCCATCCAAATCATGGATCCTAAATGGAAATCGCAAGGTTTTGAGACACCGTTCTGGTCCTCTATTTCTCTCTCTCTCCGTGAATGGAATACGTACAAATTAGATGTTTATAGTGATTATAGCACTAAATAAATAAATAAATACACAGGACGCATCTCTGTACTATCACCCAAACCCAGGGGCATTTCATAGTCACGCGCACGTGTTTCCATAACCCGAGGTAAATTTAAACTAAAAAAATTAGCTCAAATTAAATACGCAAATTATTTGCGCAATTATTTATTTACCATACCAAAAGGTCCAATATTTTCCTAGCCTCCTTTTTCCAAATATATAAATATCTCGCCTTACCCCAAATAAATAAATGTTCACAAAAGCACTGTATACGCAGATCTGAGGCCCTCGTACTAATAATGGAGATTTTCTAGGGTTTCATCACCGATATCATCTAGGGTTTGCATCTTAGCCCTACTGGTTTTTGCAGCTCTGAGGTATTTTCATGGCAATCTTTTTGGTTTCATCTGAATTTTAGTTAGGTTTTGATGAGAACTTCGATTGCCAGGTATTCATGGGAGGCCTGTATTTTCTCTTTCGTCTTGTTTTCATGGGAGCCCTCTTTTAGCTTTTCCCATGAGATCAGCTTGGTTTTCTTGAGAAATATCTTTCATGGTTTCCTTCATTTTCATGCGAGCGGCTTTTTGTGGCTTTTTTTTCTTTTTTTGGGAATTGATTGGTTTATCATGGGATGTGTCTTATAGGATAGTTCTAATTTGGTTATGGGCGTTTCAGGTTCTATGGATTTGCAGATTGGAGGTGCTTTCATGACGATTTTGTAGTGTTTCCTCTGGAATTTTGGGGGTTAGGGTTTCTCTGGAAGCCCTAATTTTTGGTGGGTTTTCTTCACTTTCTGAGGCCTAGATCTTTAGGCCTGAGAGCACGAAAGGAGGAATATTCGTGCAGGATGTCGACACCTGCTAGAAAGAGGTTGATGAGAGATTTCAAGAGGTTGCAGCAAGACCCACCAGCTGGGATCAGTGGTGCTCCTCAAGACAACAACATTATGCTCTGGAATGCTGTGATTTTTGGGTGAGTGCAGTGATAAATATTGTTTTCTTCCATTTCGGTTTTGATTTTATCGTTGCACTTTGATTGTAGGTAAAGATTGCTGTGTTCAATGGGTTTTTTAGGGTATGATGAGTTGGTCTCATTGGGTTCTTTCTGAATTTTCTTTTGCAGTCCTGATGATACCCCCTGGGACGGAGGTGAGTTTATGTATTGTTTTGCATTTCTCTGTGAATTATTTCGAGGGGTTATATATGCGTGAGATGAAGCTGTTTCTGATGGGTTTGGGTCTTTAAGTTTTGGTTTTCTAATGTTTGTCTTCTTAGAAATTTTGGGTCTTTGTCTGGTTCTTATGTCTTTCAAAAGATTTTCTCCTTGTTTTTTTTTGCTTTACAGTATGCCTGTCGAGTTGATATAGCTTATGTGTCTGATTATTCCATGATTCAATTACACAACTGAAGAATTAACTGGATTTGTGCATTATGGGCTGACGAGTTATGTCAATATAAACCTGAGGAAGCTATTATAGCCTAATTTGGAATGTGAAATAGTTACTCAGTTGTGCCTAACAATTTGTTTTTTATTTATTTACTTTTATTTTTATGTTGAAATTCTTCAGGTACGTTTAAGCTGACTCTCCAGTTTTCAGAGGATTATCCAAATAAGCCCCCTTTTGTGAGATTTGTGTCACGAATGTTTCATCCAAATAGTAAGTTCGGGTTTGCATTTTGTTTCTCCTATTTGCATTTCTGCCTTGCGTCATGCCCCATGAGATGCCTTGTATTGATACTCTGTGTGACATTAATCTTTTGCTGGTTTGAAAGTTTAACTATCTTGCACTTTGTGTATGGTTTGGACAGTCTATGCAGATGGTAGCATTTGCTTGGATATTTTGCAGAATCAGTGGAGTCCCATATATGATGTTGCTGCTATTCTGACCTCTATCCAAGTAAGTCCCTCTTGTTACCTTATGTGTCTCAAGTGTTTACACAATCTTCCATTTACTGAGCTTAAATTGTTAACTGAAATATGTGTGTCTATATCATACAATGTTCAAGAACCTGTCTTTGACGAGATGGGTTATTGTAGAGCAAGCTTCAGTTCAATTTGATGAGATTTTTTTGGACGCAATGTTTGAATTGACGTGTTCTGAGAGAATCATGCATGACGTAGTGGGCCTGAGATTGTTGGGTTATTGAAGATAGAATGTGCCACCCTAGAATTCTCACAAAATTTTCGATGCCATCATTTAATGCAGAATCTGTTCTAATATTTATTTATGTATTCTATTTGGCCTGGTTTGACGCGAGTTCTTTTTTAGCAATTATGCTATCTTTTCTTACACCAATTTAAGATTAGGGAAAGTATTCAAAGACATTTACTTTTAGTACAAGGAAGTAACAATCACTCATGTCCTTTAGATTTCAAATTGGGTAGTTGTGAGCATGTCATTGACTAGACTTAAAGTTCAAAAACAAATTCTCCCGAACTTTGTGACACACCCCAAGTCATCCAATTGGACATCTAATGACTAGAAGTAATTGTGACCTCATTGTAAAAAAGGTAAATTGTCTCATAGTATGCAACCCCTTAAGATTAATAGACATCCCAGTTGTGTGCGCTGCTATTCTTTGCTGAGACCTATTTTTTGTAACCCCACTTGTTCTCAAATGCCATTGGAACTCTTTTTTTTCCCTTTAAGATGTAAGGTTTATGATTTTATTTTAATACTATATGGTCAACTTCTCTACAAAGGCGGGAAAAAATAAAAAAGGCTTGTTTTCCCCTTACTGCCAAAGAAAGTTGATTTCTTTAATATTCTACGGCCGCATAAGACTACAGTTTCTCAATAGTGCCCATAAAGGTAGGTAATCTTATTTCATTGCTGTGACTATTAAGTTATCCACACTGGGTTTTGTTCTCTTTGTTGAGGACTTATTAGCTTGATTTCAAACTTTAGAGTTTCTTCTTTAATTCAAGAATTTTCTTGTTCACTAATAATAAATTCTTCATTTTTTTGTGAACCTTGCTTGTCTTTCAAACCTTCATAGTGCTTGAAAATATTTTGGTCAAACATTCTATCCCGTCAAAAAATTGAAAGTGTGATCATAAGTTCTACAATCAGGCTTATACTTCCTCAAGAAAAACAAAGAGTTATTCAATCAGTATCCTTCTGTTGTAAGAAATATCACTGTAACTTATATATCTTGCATTTCATATTTCATTCTTTCCCTGAAATTCTGTATAAGAGACATTTCTTACATTCATGCATGGCAGTTATTTTTGTTTAGTAACTTACATGTCAGATGTATGTTGGTGCTAGTCTTAAGGATATCTTATTTTATAACGAGTTTTTATCATTTGGGGGTATTCTTGTATGGACATCCATTGGTCTTACACAGGAAGCTAGTGCACCATTTTTCAGTTTTGCGACCAAACTAAAACCAGATATAGAATCTTCTTGTTAATAGATATAAAATTAATGAATTATCCATGGAATCTAATTGGCATAGAATTACTGAATTGTTCTTTTTTGTATGTAAAATTTAGTAACAAAATTTTGGTTTACAATTTTATGGTTTTGCACGAAAAGCTGGTTACACTATCAATTCATTCTTTTGTAGATGACATCTTTAATAGGTGTGGCAACTAAGGAAACAAATCTCTATTTTACTCACCCACCTTTGTTCTTAAAAAGCATATCCTTACGAAAGACAGTTATAACCTCTTGTTTTAGAATCTCAGAAAATTCTCTTTAAATTTGAAATTTGATGAGTAGGCTGGGCTTAGCCACTTCATGCAGCTGAGTTAGTTTGGAAACCGTTAAATTTATGTTAGTAGTTTGATTTACTTTAATGACCAGAGAATTTAAATATTTTAATCTTTAGGATTTAATAACAGGTTCTAATTTGGGAAGTGTTGATAAATAAGTGATGTGCTTGGTTATCTGTGAAGAGTAAGTCTCACAATTAAACACATTCGAGCAATTTTAAATTTCAAACATAATTATTTAATAGATTAGTTATCAAGATAGTTACAACAAGACTATCAAGAAGTGCGACGTTCTTAAAAAACAATCTGACATTGTCTTAGAAGTTTTGGGGACTTTGTTGAAAGCAGCATCTTAGACCCCATTTGGGATCACAGAGTTTTAGTAATGGCCCTGTTTTTTTTCTCGTTATACACTTTGAAAAATGATGGTCATGCCAGCATGGCATGCCACTATTCACAGGAAGGCAAGTTTTTGTGACCCCTTCTGTCTCCAAAACACTGCAAATGCCCCAAAGACTGCCAGAAAATTTTTCCTACATTTTCGGGAAGGGGGTACTCTTTGATAACTATATGATCTCTTAAGATTGCAATATTTGTCAGGATTCTTGGAAAGCTAAATAGGCCATTTATTCAATACAACTATTAACACATTCAAAATGGGACTAAGTTCTTTTCCTTTTTTAGACTTTTATTTGTTTATATTATTTTTTGAAATAGGGAATAATATTATTATTTTAAGTATCTTTATGTTAAGTGTTTACGTATCTTCCGCAAGATTGTGACATTATGATCATATTATTCATCATCATTATCTAAACCTTATCCCTACAATTTGGTATTGGCTTCGCGAATCTTGGTCACCATTCAGCTCTATTTAGGGCCATATATCTACTCACTATTTCTATTCGTGTCCTTTTGGGGCTTCCCTTACCTTTTTAGAGCCTTCCACTTGAACTAAATCATTGCTCCAACTCGTGATATTTTAGGTCGACGCTGCACATGGTCAGACCACATAAGTCTACTTTCTCTCATCATATCGCTTATTAGAGCCACCCCTAAGTTCTCTTAGATGTAATCATATTATTTATTATTTTATATTTTTTGTTCGAATGATTTAATATTTTATATCTATTTGTTGCATCACCATGTTGAAAATTTTCCATCCAGCACTAGATGAACAGAAAAAGAATGTTTCATATTTTTGGTCGTCGTGATTGTATATGTCTAATTAACTGTATTATGTGTAACTAGCTCTTTCCTTGATTATATGTTTACAAAACAAAAGATGCTACCTCAATTTAGCATTTGCAGCAATTTTCGACGATGCATATTTGTTTCTTTTTGTGAATATGAATAGCATGAACTTGTCTACTTTTCTGAGACTTAAAACTGTGAAATGCCCATGTGCATTTTCAGTCATTGCTCTGCGACCCAAATCCAAACTCCCCTGCCAACTCTGAGGCAGCACGGATGTTTAGTGAGAACAAGCGTGAATACAACAGAAGAGTGCGTGAAATTGTGGAGCAGAGCTGGACAGCTGATTAGGGTAAAACTTCTTCTTTAAAGAAGAAAAAACAAGAAATCTGTGTTTCATCTTTTAATCTGGTGATGTAATGTATAAGAACGTGCTTATACTTGGCTTTGTAGGATTCATTCTGGTACTACTGTTTCCTTATTTTCTGGTAAGTTGATATGTTTCTTGGTCTTGTAATATTTATCATGATACATACATTGTTAGCTTGTATGTATATATTAGTTTCCATTTGAAAAGCTTTGCTTTCCTTAATTGGATGTATGGAACTATTTGCCATTCTTGAAGCTTTACTTTCCTTAATTGGATGTATGGAACTATTTGCCATTCTTGTTTTTTTTGTAAAGTCTAGTTAGCAATTGGTTTTTCTGTGTTTTTGTACTCAGGTGTAAGTATAGACTCTTCAAAAGATGGGTATCCTTTTCCTCTTTTTTTTTATCTTTTTTTGGGTGCCTGAAATATGCCATTTCTGTCAATAATAAGGGGAATGATCTGACATTCCCCTCGCCTACTTTGATGAGCTGGTCTCACCTTCCCATCTCAACGAAGCCCTGCCTAACCGGATAATCGGGAAAGCAATAGTAGTCTTTGATGATAATTTTTTTTTTTTAGAAGTGCCATTTATAATCCAAAACAAAAAGCTTTTTGTTTTGGATTATGATGAGACCATATTTACCTTTGGTATTAGAGGTCACAATTCATCTAATGGGAAATCTGACTGTTGGGGTGTGTCGTCAAGTTCGAGAAATTTTTTTTTGAATTTTGAGTTTGTTGAATAGAATAAATGCAGCCAAACCATTTTACAGCTAATGGTTAAGATTAATTGTGATGCCTTGTATTAAAGATAGATAGTTTCATTGTATATTTTTTTAAAATTTGAAAATGTATACAATGAGATCATTTACTTTTTTGATACAGGGAGGTCATATCATTTTTTTTACCTTTAGATTTTTTGACCTTTAGATTTGAAATTGCGTGGCTACAAATATGTCATTGTTTCGGCATAACTTTCAAGATAAATTTCTCGAATCTTATAACACTTCATCTATTGCATTAATTTAAAAAATGCTAGGTTCGCACGGTCTCACCCAATCCTCTATGGGAATTGGTCACCTCGTTCTGGTTCCGTGTATATATAAAAAAATGGCTTGAGCCTCAAAAGGAACTGAGAGTTTTGTACTATACAACGATGATTCTCTACAACAAAACGGTGATGTCGATAGTCGATTCATCGATCCGTTTTGATTTTTGGCTGATTCAATGTTTTTTAGTTGGTTCATTTTATTTTATTTTTGCACAATAAAATGACAATTTGGATTGCTGATTTATCTATTAGGATTAGGATCAATTTTTGGGGTGCCTGATCCAAGTCATTGATCTATTCTTTTAAATTACTGATCTATTGGATGTCATATCCCTAACGGTGAATCTAACCTCCTTAGACTAAAAATCATCCTATAGTATACAGTCTTTTTTGTTTTCTCATTTCCTGTCTTTCTTGATATTTTTAGTTAAAGACTTTCAATTAGAGAGAGAAAACTAAAATTGAGGGCAATCTTGATTTTGTATCCTCCATTAACTGAAAATAGCAGAACCATTTTTATTTTTTCTAATTTGTGTGAATTAATATTTTTAATTTAATGAGAATTTCCGCCTTACCTTAAGAGGTGACTCGTATTATTGTGGCATATATTATCGTATAGGGCCATTGACTTTTTAAAATTTTCATCTTTCATCGAAAGAGAGCCTAAACTGTTATTTCGGATACTTCCTTCCATTGGGAGGGTGATAACTTTAGTCGTATGATTTATATTTTATATAAAGAAAAGTATGAATTATATAAAGAAAATGCCTATTGGGAAAGAGAACAAATAATTTATGATTTAAACTGGTTGTATTTTAGTGAAGGCCGTGATGAAAAATATCTATTACTAATTTGTGTAATAGCCGGTTTAAACAGAATTTTAAATTTTGAAACCTAAGGGTGCACCAATACTCCAGACATGTTAAAAATAAACACTAACTAAACCAGTTTCTAGCTAGGTTATCAAACAGGGGAAAATGACTACACCAAGTACCAGGGATTCTCAGAAAAATAACAAAAAAGATATCAAACAGGCCCTTGGGTGTTTCAAAAACCAATAATGGCAAAAGTATTTTGTGGCAGTAATGGCAAAAATTAGCTTTATTTAGAGATTCCAAAAATCCAATCTTGCTCTCAATAATGGCAAAAGCTTCATTTAACCAACTAAAAAACTCAGTCTCAAAAATGGCAGAAATAAGTACGTATGGCAAAGTCTGAAAAACGAATCATTTAACACGAAAGAATTCAGCCCACTCACTCGCTATCGGTAGGCAAAACCAACTTCATGTCCCATCTAAGCTTTAGATTAAGCACTGCTAATTCAGCCACGGGTACATCTCAACAGAGGACAAGACTGCCAATTTCACTCTGAAGTGCTTTGAGATTTCTTATCTATTTGATCATGAGGCAAGTTTCTGTTTTCATTTCTGGAGAAATTTAAACCGTACTTTTTCTCATCATTGAGCCATAGAAGTCTCAGAGGCTCCTTGAGTCTTTGCATCGATATCCACTTCTGGAAAAAATAATGCATGGAATTCCACTAATGAGAAGTCTGAAACCTGGAATGAAAGAGGAATCACGTAAAACACTAATGTGGTTATATATGCGTCCCATAATAATCAACCTCTTTCTCTCTCTCTCTCTCTCTCTCAAACAAAAATACTATTACAGTTCTAAATCACTGCTATAACAATGTTCTTTCTCTCTCTCTCTCTCAAACAAAAATACTATTACAGTTCTAAATCACTGCTATAACAATCTTCTTTCTCTCTCTCTCTCTCAAACAAAAATACTATTACAGTTCTAAATCACTGCTATAAGAATCTTCTTTCTCTCTCTCTCACATAAATCTTTCCTATAACAATTTCTCTCCCTCTCTCTCTTCTCTCTCTCTCATAAATTATTGTTATAACAATCTCTCTCCCTCTCTCATAAATCATTGCTATAACAATCTCTCTCATAAATTATTGTTATAACAATCTCTCTCCCTCACTCATAAATCATTGCTATAACAATCTCTCTCTCTCTCTCTCTCTCTCTCTCACACACACACACACACACAATTAAAGGCTCACATTAAAAATTCAAGCTCCATGTGTGCCCATTAGCATATCTGACGTGCATATAGACAGTTCCGAAAGGATATCAATTAAACAAAACATATTTCAGAATCTTGGCAATGAAGAATGAAAAATAATTCAGAATCTTCTGTGCATGTTTAAGAGAGAGAAGGTTCATCAAATATATCAAAGTTCGAAATCTAAGAAAAGAAAACAGAATCTTGTATGCATGTTTGAGTTGTTGTGTGTGTGTGTGAGAGAGCGAGAGAGGTTATAATAAGTGAGCAAAAATTCAATATCCGGTGTACTTAATGCAGTGAGAATTTAAAGTTCTCCATACAAGTAATCATCAGAGAAGATCACCTTCAACTTCAAAATAAAAATTGCAACTTCAAAAAAAATCAGAGAATATCACCTTCCAAGTGGATTTCTTATCAATCAGAAGTGTTATTTGGAGATCCATCACTGCCTTGCGATGATGCATCCTGCACTTGTGCAGCAAACTGCAAATTCCACAATACATCTTCGATGGAAGGTCGATCTTCATGCTCTTTACATAGGCATCTAACAGCGATTGCCATTGCTGTTCTCAACGACTCGTCCACACACTCGTCAGTAATCCATGGATCAGCCACACTTCTGCGACACTCTTGATTCTCAATCACGCATTGTTGTAGCTACAAAAAGAATAACAATGCAAATAAGAAAAGGTGCTCATATGTGCTCTTAGTTTCATCAGCATCACAAAGCCAAAATATCCACAAAAAACAATACTTTTTTTCTGAAGCTTCCTTTCATGCACAAAACAATATTTCTTGGGTTTCAAAGACACTGTGGATTTACATCTTTACTCAAGTCAATTTTGTTGCATTTTATATTTCATTGACACCTAGATTCCTGTAGAATTTTAACATCCTCAAGGCATAGTTTTTAATCCATTACATTACTAGTTTCACTTAGAAAAGTGAAGATACAATTTGATGAACATGAAAATTTTATCAAACGAGTATTTATTGTTTACACGTTTTGGCCAATCCTGACAATCTGGGTGGGTTGGCCATTGAATTAAGAGTCGAGGCTTTATGCAATTTATTCACATGCATCCCTTTCTTCCAAAATCCAGAGGCCTGTTTCCATAATTTAAGTAGAAAATAGTTGTCATAATTTGTTTATATTGTTGTACTGTCATTGGACATACACAGGATGCCCACCTTCTTAACATGAGCCCCACCATAAAAACCAAAAGTGTAAGGATAGAAACCAGTTCTACCTGATCTCTCAAAGTGTCCACTTCACTCTGTGCTTCGATAGCTCTTCCCATGATCACCTCCAACAAGATGATCCCGAAGTTATAAACATCAGCCGCATCTCTCCGTTTTTCCCTGCAAAGCAACAACATTTGAAGAACCAAAGTGTGAATCCATTCTCAATTATGAATCATCGTAAGAAAACTATACATGGAATAATCATTCAGGAAAGTACCCATTTAACTTCAGAGGAGCCATGAACTCTAAAACCATCTGGAATTTTACAATTTCTTTAGAATTTATTTCTTTGTAATTTATTATATATGTGCTAGTTAATACACGTACAGTGGTATGATGTACGCACTACTGCAAAAGAAGGAATCAGTACCATACTCCCAAGTGCACCATTTCAATAAAAACTCTTATATGTGCTACAATTTCGAGCAGATTGTGTACTTTTTTGACAAACATCCCAAATATTTTCAAGTACACATGGATATTTTATAGTTTATTTACATAGCTAGTCAGGCAAGGCTCTAAAAAACCTCTAAAGGTTATGGATCAAAAAACTTTCTTCTCAATCATAAATTTTAGAAATTAAAAATGAAAAAAGATTTCCTCAATCAGACAAAGTTTTAAGTTGCCAAGTACCTTTTACTGATATCAAATTCTTTTCGTCCACTGCCTGGTCCTTGAGCTCCCAACTGTGATAGTCCCAGAAAAAGATGAGATATGCATATGCATATGCACGCGCACCCACACACACAGAGGAGGTGGGAAGGGGGGGGTGTCTCAAGCAAAATTTCCTTAGTCAAAGCAATGCACGTAGGAAACACATTTGAGACAATTAAATCTCAATCTCACCTCGCTTTTCATATTATTTGCTAGAACAGGCAGATTGTAGCTGCTAATTTTTGCAACATGGTTTTGATCCAGCAATATATTTGTTATTTTCAGATCATTGTCAAATAAACCTGGAACAACACCTGTGTGTAGAAACTCAATGCCCCTTGCTACGCCAATAGCAGCTGCTAGCCTTTGTGTCCAGGAAAGTGGTTCCCCACCCATCCTCTCTGCCAATCAAGGCGAAAGAAAGAAACCTTAGCAGACATTGAGAAATTATATGCATTGACATTTGACAAGTAAAAAGGATTACTGATGTGATCATTCCAAATGCTCTTCTTACCACAAACATTGGCTCTAAGAGTCCCATAAGGCACATATTCAAAGATGAGTAAGAGTCGGCTCACAGTTGAATCATCCAAATAACACTCAATACAGTGCCCAAGAACACTGACTAAATGGCGATGCCGAATTTTTGAAATCAGTTCAATATGGGGTAAAAAAGTCTGAGGGCTGTACTTCTGTTTCAACTTCAAGCATCGAATTGCAACCACGGAACCATCACTTAGGATGCCCTTGTACATCTGACATTACACAGTATGGGTCAGTAAAGAGCAAGAGAGAGTCCAAGTAATGCACACATACATAAAAATATATTAACAGGTCTGTCTGTGACGTATACCTGTGCTTATTTGATGTTTTTCTTAAGGCCATAACTTTATGCATGAACTAAGTATCTCAATATTTAGAAGAACCTCAAAGTTCATTGTTTGCTTACAGTAATGCCTTGGAAAGGTGGCCTATTCAGCTAGTTTGACACAGTTTGGCCAGGCACATACCCACTGTCAATCAGGTTAGCTGCCCAAGCCAGCAAAAGTGACCAAGGACTCACCTAGACCAGCCACTTTAATATAGCAATGAGCCAGCTTTAGGCTTAGTCATCCTGCCCAGAATGGGGGCCCAATTCTGGGCAGGTTTGTTTCATATTGAACCTTTTTCTTTTAAATTAGAAAATTCTGGGAATCTTGAAAGTTACCAACTAAGCAAGCTGAGTTATCATAACCTTCTACTCTGGCCACATTCATTTTGTGATGAAATTTATGAAAAGCAGCACATCACAACTGATACACCCATGTGTACCCAAGCCAAATATTAAAAATATGAACACTTTTTTGCAAATAAAGCACATTGCGCATAATATATACCCTCGATGTTCTTCATTAGGCCCCTTACAATGACATTATCAGACAATTATTCCAGATAACACCTAAGGGTATTGTCATTTCAAATGTACATGAATTGTTCAGATGGCTTAAATGGGTTAAGATCAATATCTGAAGAAAAACCTAATTAGAGTATGCCATACTTGGTCATGTGATCCTTCACCCATGAACGTTGATGTGTGAAAATTGTCTGTGGCCTCTTCAAGCTCCTCTAGAGAAAAGTTGCGATATGGTGGAAGGCCAAGGGCACTCAAACTCATAGTCTGAGATATATACCCTAGTGCAACAAATGACCACAAAAGCAACATTAGCAAAAGATACTTATGATAATTTACATGGCAGTGGTTAAATTACATTAGCAACAAAAAACCATTGTTTTGAACAACTGATAGTGGGGTGGATTGTCCACCCACCAACCCTTGTCCGGACCGCTGAATCAGCGATCCGGATTGACCAGATTGGCAATCCACTCCCCCCCCCCCAAAACAGAAAAAAAAAAGAAAAAGGAGAAACAAGAAAGAAATGTTATATAATATATAGTATATATGGTTTTTATCATTCAACAAGGAGGGGTTTCGGAGATTATAGCGTGTCGCTGCTTTCTTAAGCAGTGAAGTTTCTATTCTCTTTACATTGAAGTTTCTTTTGGCTTTAATAACGTTAATAAATAATAATAATAAATAACAGTTCCGAAGCCTCAAAAAAGGAGGCACACAAAATTTAAAAAGTGGAGTTCTTGTTGGGGGTACCGAAGCCTCAACCAAAGGTTAATTGTCCGTTAGCACTAGCCGGCTAAGCCTACTATATGTTCTGTATTTAAGAACCACCAGATTCAGACAAGCAACTAGTGCAGAGCTCACCAATTCCCGATCTGCATCGGGCAATTCCCGATCAGGATCACGATTTTTAAACATGGAGCACAATACAACAATTTTTCAAGAGACTAAAAGAATAAGTAAAGTGCAGTCAGTTAACTTAGAGAAACAAACTCAAGCACAAAAGAAAAGAAAAATTACTTACTGGCATCTGCGAGCACCTTTGAGGGCAATCGAGCCAAAGCATTCCCTATAACCAATCTCCGAGACGATCTTTTTATTGGTTTTCTAGACCTTGATCTTCTAATAAATACCCAAATAAAGAGACCCAATACCACCATTCCGCCAGTCACTCCTAAAATACCGATAAGAAAAATCACTTTCTCAGATTCTTTCTTTTTACCATTTCGAGGTAGGACTCCCACTGCTAAGGCTTCATTCTTGCAGAACAAGTATGGATGCTGATATTGGGTGTCATTCACCAAGCAATTCCCTGCATAGCGGACAACCTTTCCCCTAGAATTCGGTTCAAGACAATGAGGCAAAGTCCCAGTTAAAAGATTTGAAGAAATGTCAACAAACTGTAGCCCATTATTACACGATATATTCTCAGAAAGCATCCCAGTCAATTTATTTCCACCCAAATCCAAGTACTCAATGGCAGGAAGAGAGAACAAAGATAGCGAGAGTGGCCCGAGAAACCTATTGAAAGACAAGTCCAACTTTTTCAGCTGGAAACAAGACGCAATTTCAGAAGGAATGTTGGAGCTGAACCTGTTCTTCCTCAACACAAGTTTGACAATCTTATTCCCTAAGATGGGAAACTGGGGTCCTAGGTTATTGTTCTCCAAATCCAATATCTGAAGGTTTGTCAAACTACTAATATCAGGAACTTCCCCATATAATTGATTAGTAGAGAGGACCAACACTCTCAGAGATTCCATTGTCTTTAATGAAGATGGGAGAGACCCGCTAAATGAATTATTTCGCAAACTCAACACAGTCAAAACTGGAAGTGCACTGAACCAGTCAGGAACAGAACCAGTAAACAAATTATCATCCAATATAAGTGTTTGAAGGTTCCTCAAAAGTGAAATCTCTTGGGGAATTCGTCCATAAAAGAAATTTGAGCTCACATTGAGTATTTCCAATGAATATAAACGCGCAATTTTAGGTGGTAATTGACCCCATAAACCAAGAGAAACCAAAGAAAGGACCTTTAGATTTGGAAGACCAGTGAGAGTGGTTAAGAAGGAATCAATGGAAAAAGTGGGCAATAACTCATAATCTGAGGCAGTAAAGTTTTGGGTTCTCTTAAGTTTAACAGGAGGAGATCCTTTGCTTCCAACTATATGCAATTGGGTTATGCTCTCTTCATAACATACAACCGATAAAGATGAGGCAGGAGGGGTGTTGCAGAAATCTGTCCAGTTATTCCAGCTACTTAGAACAGCAGGAAATCCTAAAAGTCTTTGAACTCTTAGAAGGGCTTGGGCCTGAGAGGACTGTAACTGTAGGGTACAAGGAAGAAAAATCAAGATAATTACTGGGATTAATGCAACCCATAGAAGAAGAAAAGGAAGATTTTCACCTTTCACCATGTTTAGAAACTGGTTTAAGGGATCTAAAAGCTCAGAAGAGGGTTTAATAAGCTTCAGCTCCCAAAAGCAAAGACCAGGAAGATAGATTCACTTGTAGACAAGCTATTTTTTGCACTTCAGAAAAGTTTATTGCACATTAAAGATACCTTCCTTTCAGCTGGCCAAGATCCAGAACCTTGAATCCATGAAAATGAAGAAGTAGGTATACTACAAACCTTATAAAAGCCAGAAATCCCCCTTATCAACTAACAACCACAACTCTTGATAAATGAGATGGAACACCAGCTCCAATCTTCCCTAAATTTAGCAGTTCTTCAAGCTGAATAAATACAAAAGAAATCCTATGGCTTGATTAATATCAAAAGATGTTAGCTCACTGGTACTTTTATCTTTTTCCTAGTCTGAAAACTAATTGAAGGTCCTCATTTCTTCGGCTTTTTACACTTCATGGAAATCAAAATTTATCAGAGACAGCTAACTTATCCAATTTTTGCTATCTTCAGTAGTGAAAATCAATGAAGACTCCACTAAAACCTTATTGAAGGCCAGTACATTCCAGTGAATCCTCTAACAAGTCCCTTGAAACACACTCAAATCAGGTGGTTTCATCTAGAAATCTTCCTTTTTTCTGAGGAACTTTCTTTAAATATTTCACCACCTCCAAAACTAGCCTCAACAGACATCAATACCTTTTACCATTTCATACTACTTCTCAATGAAACTCTGGTAAATTTTTTACCACCTCCATTACATAATCTAAAATCACTAAACCTCCACTAAATCCTTTAACATTCCAAAATACAAAGGAAATAGCTATCAGATCCAAAATTCACTGTAGCAAACTTTAATCTCTTCAAAACCCTAAAAATTTTATCCTGTGGGAATCTTTTATGCTTTCAGTCAAGGATCAGGCTAAATACCTCATAGTCCATGGTTGGTATATTAATTTGCAGAGATTGTATTCCCTATCACACAAAGTGACGCCATGACACCAACTGTTTCTCGCTCTACGAGCCTCTTCCTGTAACTCACATTCTGAAATTTACAGGTACAGCTGAGCAAGGGACGAATTAGAATGACGGATGTGGCTTGTCACTTATGGTCACGGATTTAGGTCATGGTAATGGTCCAGTGGGTAAAAGAAACGTGGCAGAATGCTCTGTAACTTCCATGGCGCTAAGCGACAATAGATGGAGACTTTTACCCGGACATGGCTTCAAAAAAAAGTAAAACCCGTGGTTTTTTCTGTCTTCTGTGGAAAAATATCATTGAAGCTTGACTATAGGAGATACACTCTGGTTTAAGGTCCACAAAAGTAAGGGCTTCAGTGGAGTTTGCGTTTGAAGATACCTATGGGGTCCATAAAAAATAGGGTTTTCTCCCTGTTGTTGATGATGGAACTGATCGCTCTGCAGTGGGCTAATATTAACGATCTTTTCTCTGGTCTCAATGGAAACATCATTAGATCTTGGTTTTCAAGTAAAACTAATGATTCAGGAACCAGAAAAAAAAGTGGAATATCTGGTTTACTGAGGATTGTGCAATTAAGAAACGGCCTTCTTCTATGGTTTCAACAGAGGTATCATTAGGTCTGGATTTAAGAAGAGCATCAAGCGCTTTAAGTCCAGTAAATTAGGGCTTTTTTTCTCTTTCTCGTAAAGCTTGTACGAGCTCCTGCTTTGAACTGAGAGAAAGCAGATTCCAGTAAGGGAATCGAGCCTTTATTCTCTTCTGAAACATCTCCGCTACAAAAATGGTGCGGCTGTAAAAGGGCAAGGGTTTCGAAGATGGGCATTCTTTCGCCTTTCGCTTTCTGATAAGGATGGCCACCATTGTTCGTTTACCTAGGACAAGAAAGCATTTGTCTCCATTTCTCCCTGTACGCTGTAATCGCTTGATTTTTTAGCTCCTCTCTCTCTAAAATTTCGAGCTCGCTCTCTCTCTAAAATGTTTGTTTGATGTCTGCTGACTTGCGCAGCTCTCCTTCTCTCTCTAAAAAGTTGGCCTCACTGTCATTCTAGAAAACGAGTTGTATTTCGCGCCACGGACTTGGGTAAAAACTTACTGCGTCGAGTTTTAAATTTCGACGTATTTCGGCCGAAATTTCGGACGTTTTGAATTTTTAATTAATTGGACCGAAATCCGTGCAATATTACGACTCAGACGGTCCCCTTCCCTCCATTTTTTTACCATTTCTTTTCGAAAAATAGACCGTTTGTACTCTCTCTCTCTCTATGGACTTGTCTGTCTGGACTCTTTTTATCTCTCTCAGCCTGTACACTCTTTTTTATCTCTCATTCTCCCTCTCAATGGGGTTAGCCGACTTTAATTTCATCCCTTTTTACCCAAAAGTTTATGAGAATTATGTATGTGTTTGCCCTTTTTTTATAAATTGAATCTATAATTTTTGCTCCAAATAGCCATAATTGGTATGTTTCCGTTTAAAATACAAATTTTTTCCAAAAAATTCTAATTTTTTGAAATATGTAAAGAACTCCGAGTTTTTCAAAATAACCTTTAAAAAATCACATATTTTAATAAAACCAATATAAATCTGCATTTCATCTTTTTCTGTAACAAATTTTCAAGAAAACTTCTTCCCTATAATTTTTTCTTTTTATTGATTTATTATATTTGAATTTTGGTTTAGAGATAGGTACATTAAAAATGGAAATAAATTAAAAATCTTAATTTAGAAAAAAAATCATTAAAAATCACCAATATATTCCCTTAAAAAAAGTGAAATATACTTTGCAAAAAATAATGCATCAAAGTAATCATGTATCCCAAAATAATTGTTAGAGTTGGAGGAAGAGTACCACAATAAAAAATATTTGTTTCTCTATATACATAGCGCCGTTATAGAGAGCAAAAGAGAGCGAATTAATGACAACGAAATATTTAGGCAGCTAGGAATTCATGAGCTTTGAATATTTAACATTGTTTAGGCATTTTTATTTATTTATTTATGCCTTATAGAAGTTAATTTTACCTTTTCAACTTTTTTTATTTTATTGATGTATATAGAATAGCAATTTAGATAGACCACTATTTTATACTTATGGAATTTTGTGTTTTTAGTTAAACTATAATCCTATTCTGAGTGTCATTTTAGTTTTTTTCTCTAAACAATAATCCTATAACTTGGGTTGCCATTATTGTTATTTGCTAATGTAGTTCGTGTGTTTAGTATTGTTGTTGTTTTATTGTATGCTCCCAATAAATCTACGTGTTATGTGTCGTGATAAGCATTGTTGTTGTGTTTATTAAGAGTTTATACATGACTAACGATACCAGGCAATGATACATAAATTACAATTCAATGGTTTAAATGCATCCATACAGCATCTGCGACTTGTAATCTTATATCGTGTTGTCTTTACATATCTGGTTTTTTCACTCTACTTATTTAACCAAATCCAAAATATTCATAATTATCTAGCTTACCTAATTTTTGGCACCCGAAATATGGCCACCGATGTGTTTCGAGCAAATCTGATTTATTACTCGCATTTTGGTTACTGATAGATTGCTATATGAGCATAGCTTCTATCCACTCCCTTGATAAAGCCTGAGTATTTCAAGTACCAGGATTTGACTGTTGGGTTTGGCGATGGTCAAATCACCATACTCATATTTTCTTATACATATTAAGGGTATTATGATAAATATAAAATAGATTTTCTTAATAAGCAATAGAGTGAATCTATATAAGATAGTACATGGAGACATAATACCCATCCTTTCAAGTATTGGGTTATGGGAAGGGATCTCTAATATAGAGATGAGTCTCCAAAAAATATATGGCTTTCCAGAGAGACGTAATATTCTCATGAGTTTTGGGTTAGTAAGACTTTCACTTCTAGAGAGAGAGTATTTCGGTTGCTCTCGATGATATCTTTCCGATAGCGGTTTTGCTGTAGAAAATAAGATACATATCAACGGTGTTGCTTGGTTGGGAGAACGGGACTAGAAAAGAAGATCGGTGATGGTCTTTTACCAATGTTTATAAATAGATATTGTATCTTATAACCCAAAACTGTAAACCTCATTATGATAGTGGATTTCGACTTGCCAAGGCCGTAAATGTAATCCTACGGGGTGAATAACGTAAATTGTATGTTTTGGTAATGTGTTTTTCATGTTTACTTTATTTTTTACACTCGATTTATAATTGTATTCATCTACTTCGTATTTAGTCAATTATGTACAAGATCTTGAGCGGGATTCTGGTAGTTGGGATTCCCGGTTCTACAAATGAGGGGTTCCCGAAAACCCTACATTTAACATCCTCAACATGTGATTAACCTGAAAAAGAATGCAATGCGTTTTGTATACATCTGAAAATTAACATCCTCAAATTAAAAAAACAAATTTATCAAAATATCTATTAGAGATGCATTATTTAGTATTTTATAGTCTTGACACCACTTCAACTCATGATCATGTGTCGTATTGTTCATTTCATCTCACATGGGTATTTTGATAATTTTATATTAAACAAAGTATGTTCTCTTTAAAACATAATTGTATAGTGGATTCCGGATTTTATTTTTATTGAAATAATCAATGTAAATAAATTTTATACCAAAAAAAACAAATGTATAGGTGTCAAGAGCATCGTGTAGGTGCTCTTATTACTTTCCACTTTTTTCAATAAATTCACCCTACATGAGTTCCTCATCTCTTTCCTTATTTTATTTTGTATTTATGTATTAACAATGGGAATGAAAAATGAGACGTTATATTGAGGCATTAGTTATTCATTCCATTTAATATCTCTCCAGTCCCTTTTTTGTTTTCCCTAAATGTCATCTCCTTAGTCAAATTATCTCGTTATTTATTTATTGACAATATAATTTACGTTGGATTCATGTGGTATTTAAAAGCCTTATGAGAGCTTATATATGTACATAGTGAAACATAAACTCACTAGGAGTGTCGTCTTCTTGTAGATCATGCTAGGCAAATACAATTTGCTGATACTCGAATTTGGCTTAACGTGCTAGGCCAGCCGAATTGGAAAACCCAAGGTACTTGGGTATAAATATGAAACCAATAAGGGTTTAGTGGGTTAGCTTTTGATGAGGTCAGAGTATACTCGAATGAGAGCTGCGGGACTGTGTGACCCTTGTGTGTGATGAATAATCTATAGAGACAGGACTAAAACCTCGTCATTATATCATCACATGGCATGTACATAAATAGTCGTATTGAGATAGTAATTCACCATTGAGGGTAAAGCGTGATGTATGAGAGATTACCCTTATGCACCATATAGTCGATATTGCATCATGGTCTGACGGATTATGGTTTGTCTCTAAGGGAGAACCCGAAAATCACATACTTGAATTACGTCCCGTAGCCAATTGATTTACTTTTGTAGTCTAATCATAAGCTGTCACACCCCAAGAATTTACAATACTGATATTCCTGAGATGTGGCAGTCAAAACATATATATACATATCCTTTTAGGACAAATTTACAATGGCGAATTTTTAAAAAGTAACAAAAGAAAGTTTAAGCACAACTTCAATATCTTTCTAAAGTTGATCCCGACGAGCACTCAAATGAAACCGCAGTTATCCTGAAAAATGTTTATCATAGTTTGATGAGTTTGGCTACTCAGTAAGTGATCATCATAATCCTAAAAATAATCATGATTGAAAGATATCAATATTTTCCAAAATGAAATCTATTAACAGAAATGCATCAACAGTTTCACTTTAAAATATGCATAATTAAGTATAATCCAAGTAATTGAAATGCTTATAACACTTTTAACGGCAGTGCATAATTCAAATGATTTCACAAAATACCCTACTGCCGTCCCAAGTAGGTCACCTATATACCCCATCAGCGTCCTGATGGGTCCCCTTAATCCCTATCGACGTCCCAGATAGGTCCACTTAATCCCTGCAGGTCCACTTATACCTCACCGGCGTACCGGATGAGTCCACTTAATCCCTACCGGCGTCCCAGATAGGTCCACTTATACCTCACCGGCGAACCGGATGAGTCCACTTGCATACTTAAATTATTTAAAAATCACATTAAACATTCGAAAGCAGCAATATCATGTACTCAACATATCACTGAAATCATTAATATGAATTTCACTTAAACCATTAATAACAGTCACTCTCTATAACATTTCAAAAATAACCAATCAAATATTTTGGGCCCAAATTTAGAAAGGTAGCAGTTTGTAAAGGCATTCTAGCATAATTGCCAATTTAATATGTATAGAAAAACTCTTATAGAAATTCAAGAATACGGAATTATCAATATTTATGGGATATCAATCCACAAATAGACATTTCACAACAATACTATAATCAATTGCAAAAATGTCAATTTTTAAATAATAAGGCAGTCATTTGCACATGAATTTTACAATGACTAAATATCCAAAAAAGTAGAAAGAAATATCACAATTTTATTAAAAGCAGTAATATCACATTTATTTCTAATAATTTGATAGTATCTAAAATTTTCTAATGATAGCCAAGAAAAATAAATAAATTTATTTTTCTAATAATTTACAGCATTTAAAATTTCTAACATAGATAAAATATCACAACTTTTATTAAAAAGATTATTTTTCAAGATAATGAGGTCGGGTGCGCATAAAATTTATCGCACCTAAAATTCATGATAATAAGCAGAAATAAATATTTCATTTTATTTTTAAAAATAATGGATTATTTTTCGAGACAATGAAGTCACTTACACATAAAACTGATAAAACAAAGATCCTAGACGGAAATATCACTATTCATTCAAAATAGACTATTTTTCAGGAAGACGATGTCTCTTACACACAAAACTTATAAAGTAAACATCCTGGACGGAAATATCACTATTTATTAAAAACAGACTATTTTTTAGGAAAACGATGTCACTTACACACAAAACTTATAAAATAAATATCCTGGACAGAAATATCACTATTTATTAAAA